AAGGTCCAATAATAGATTCCCTGGCACACAGACACTCGCCACTTGAGTCGGGCAGCCCATTATCCTGTACAACGCACTCTGCTTTCTCGTCACATGCTCGGCACATTCAAAGTGAAATATGAAAAATGAGGGAAAAAAAAAAAAAAAAAAAAAAAAGAAAGACATCCTTTAGCGAGTACGGAGAAAAAAAATATCTAAGGCCTGCTGTGGTATCTATATAACCAACGCCCCTCGGTGCATGACGTAGGAGCAGCTACCACTACCACCGAAACGAACGCTGTACGCTATTCGCTGTAGCCCCGAGAATCCGCACAGAATGAATGGGGATGGGCAGGAGCGTGGGGTAAGGGTGTAACTTTGTGACTCGCCAATGTGTATATACTTGGGGGTTTGTGGATCGTATACAGATATACACTTACACATACAGAGCGAGTGGCGGTAATATATAGCAGCCGTGGTAGCGTGTCCTTGACAAAGGCGCCGTCGACGACGACGTAAGCGCACACGCGCTCGTGGACTTGTGTGTATTGTCCGATGGATTGCACATGTATGTATATACCAAAAGCCATCGAGGGGTGTCCTGCAGCAGTAATGAGCTCGTCCGCGATGGATGCGGTATATTCGTTTTGAGCTTCTCTTCTTGTTGTCCTTCTTTCCTTGTGTTCTACACGATGACGAGCTTAGCTACAGATACCGAGTACTTTGATTCCCCGCGAGTTCGAAGGATGATCGTCCTTTTTTTTTTCCTCCTTCGGTGACTCTCAGGATTCAACCTTTTGAGAAATGTTCTCTTTCTCTCGTTGTTTTAAGGATTCATTTTTGAGTTAATTAGGATAATTTTTTATATTGTTAAAGCAAATAAACAGAACAGACAAGGGATGACCTTTTCGATGCTCGGTGCTGAGAATTACATCGTCGTGCACTATGTGGTCCCTATACGTAACATCGGAGAAAATGAGAAGTGTTGAATAAACATTGCACCCCTTTTTAAATTCCTCTTTTATGTAGGCAACGGGACGTTTTGCAGGATTGGTCCTTTTATCCATTTCCAGGCTTTGAGTTAAGCGTTTCTACCCTCGCGCGACATAGTGCACGAGGCTCAAGGACTCGATGTAAAAGCCAGAGGACCCCTGAAATAAAAAATACCCCTTTCTCCATCTTACTCGATACGCATATTTGTGTGTATACGGATGGAGCGTGTAGACGTGCACGTTTGCGGTAGGTTCATCGTTCGCGGTGCGTGCGATTTGAATACCAAATGACGAAGCGCGCGGGAGTTGAGTTATATACCCTGCGCCACGAGGCTACGGATACTACCGAAGATATTGCTGGAAAATTTGTCGAAGTCCTTTTCCGTGTATTACATGTGCAACAGGGTTTAGGCGATTGGGCGTCTGTGAATTTATGCTGTTTCCATACCGTGCACGACAAGGTTATTTTTAATGGACTGCGCTGACGATACAGTGCTTTGAAGTATTACACCCCCCCTGTCGACGATTGCATACAATTTGCGGGATGATATTTCATCGGGCGACAGTATACATAGAGTTTGTGTCTTCTTCGCTCATCAAATTGATCGGTCTCGATTGAGGTGTGACAATCATACATATGTTCCTACACGATACGATGTGTCAACTGTACCCGTATTGTATGTGCACAGTCGGTTATGAGATTATTAAGTGGTTCAGTGAAAGGGATATTATAGATTGGATACCTTCATTGATTGGGTACATCTATATACCTTGTCTGCGTGCACATCGGAGTGCGTATCCATACGGATCGAGTACGCTCGGTTGGTTTGCCAGCTTTGGCATTGCATGGTTATCGTGACCAAAAACAACATGCAGGGTAAAACCGAGACGAGTACAGGGGCATACATGGTAAAATGGCTAATGTAACGATTTCGATCGTTTTCCGGCTGAACTCGTGGTGGATTAGGTGCAGTAGTGGCTCGACACTCCAATTCTACATGTATGCACCCATACTTATACCCACTGCTCCTCGCAGCCGTATATTCGTGGTGAGCTCGCAGACTATTGATTGGCGAGCTAGTGGCTTTGTCTGAGGGTACAGATATATATCACGTATACCATGTGAGGTACGTACATATATGCATGTGTGGGTACATGGGAGGGTCAGTGGTGATGTAGACAGCATCCAAGCTCTCTTTTACATTCTATTATTTTTATTTTGTTTCAATTCATATTCGTAAAAGCGGAAGGAAAAAAATCATAATTTTATTCAAAAGTTACGAAAACATTGATATTTACTAGTTGTTCCTTAATAGCAACCAAACATATTTTTAGTTGATTGTGTTTGTTACCCTTTTTTTTTTTTCTTTTTTGTTTATTTATTACTCAGCAAAAATATTCAACAAAAATTTACTTTTACCTGTATACAACAAGGGAGTAACGAAATAATACAAATTAAGGGTGATAGAAGTTGATCCCAATCCGCCCAAATGATGTAACGAAGGGATTATAAAATATACAATAATAGCAAAATAAACAAGGAAACATTGCGACGAAAAAACAGAGACAACAAACAGTAATTACGTTAAAAAACAATTTTCAGATCATCCTCCTTCCTCTCCCCCCTTTGAAGCAAAACTCGGCAAACAGTCACGTGTACTCGATCGAATATTTGGAGATGTCGATGAGGAAGTTCGGGCTCGGCTTTGCGCGACACACCTACCTACAATACACACACACGCGTACACCTCCAATAATCCTAATGGAGATTTCTTTTGTACTTGAAAACAAAGTCGTTGATCGATGAGCTAATACTCGAGCGAGAAATGCGGATAATCCATGGCACTTGTGACTGCCTACACCCCCACACCCCCACATGTATACGTGCATGAAAAAAAAAGAATACGCGCGTACACACTTACTCTGGATCACTTAATCTTAATGAAATTTATTTTTCATCGCCTCACTGACACGCGTATACTACAGCACTGCCAGCGTAACAGACTTATGAAGTCTTAAGAAATAAACTGCTTGTATATATATGAGCGAGTGACGTTTCGTACTCTATCAGCCGTTAAATCGCACGGTTACTTACACACTCTTTTTTTTTATCATTATTATTATTATTTTTTTTTTTGTTGCACACTTACTCCAACTCGTGTATCTCTAAAAGTGTAGGCGTTGGTCACTGAAAAAGCAGGTTTCAACACTGCGACACTTACGAGATTACATTACATAGATGGCTCTTTTTACCTCTGTAGGTCACTATCACGATAAATTATTATTTACAATGATGCATAAATACATGCTCCCTTCATTATTGTGATCGATTCAGAGTTTCAAATAATATATTTAACCAGTGATTAACAAATTTGAAACTTTTCTTTACCGTACGATTTGTCTTACGTTCATATTAACCCTGTATTATAGGTACTTTGTAGCACCACCAACGTTAATTTACTGTTTCTATGGTACGAGCAAAGCAATTAAAGGAATCTCCAATAAAAATTGTACCTTTCCCCGTGTGTACCTATACATAATATTTGCGTGTGATTTTTCTATGCTTCAAGTTTGTGCGAAGGTACACACATTACAAGATTAAATCGATGAAGGGTTGGGGAAAAGGGGGTGAAACTATAGAAAGGCTCAGGCAATAATCGGCAAACGCGCGCTTTTACTACTTGTTGAGGGGCTTTAAGCGCGTTTGGCGTAAGTACGAAAGTCGAGTAGTAAAAGTCGAGACGGCCCAGATTTTCTTTAAGTAGTAATAACCGGATACAGTCGGACGAGCTACGGCTATGTTATTACCAAGCATGTATAGGCTTTTACATTGTATTTTACTCTGTATATGTGTACATATTTCATGTAAATTTAATATTGTCCCTTCTGATTTTGTTGTTGCAGATAAAATTACTGACTGACGTGGAGCATACTATGATAATTCTGATATCAGATTGATTATAACCGCCGCTTCATGTATACGTGAGTATGGTTTTTCTCATTTTTTTCCTCCAACCGATTGATCGACTATTTATTTTTTCTCTCATTTGAATCATTAGTTTTGTTGTAAAAAAAAAAAAAAAAAAAAAAAATTGATATCAAATTATTAAAATAACCATCGTTTCATCAATTTAACGTTTCAATTGAAATCAAGTTCCACAAAAATTGTTCTTTTTTCATCACTCCAATAGATCAATTAATTTACATTGATGTTTAATGTTTTGCATTATTATGTTTTTACGATAAAAAATAATGCAAAAAAGATTAATTCCTAATTGAAAAAAAAAAGAACAATTTTTCACGACAACGGACAATCGTCCTTGTCAATGAGAAAACAATGTTTTATTTTGTCTTTGACGTAAAACAGTTATAATTTATTGTCAGTTATCAAATCAATCTAATAAAAGCACCTTTCTTCCACTGCAAAAAAAAAAAAAAAAAAAAAAAAACCCAACGTCAACAACAATCAGCAGGTCGGACATGAAAAATCTTGGTTCGAGTTGTACGACGGGCCCCATTAAACCAGGCACTGCCTCACCGCGTTCGTCACTGGTCGTAGCGAGTACCGAGAAGCGCAACCGGCAGCCAGAGGACAAGGAGGAGGAGGAGGACAAGGGTAGCAGCCGAAACCGAAGCAAAAATCGCGTCAGCTGTCGTCTTAGGTCGCGCAAGCAGCGACCCGGCCACCAGGATAAAGAGAAGAGGAGCGAGGGCCGGTGCCACCGTCGCCACGTCTGTTTAGCGCCTCCGTCCGTTCTCGAGCCGCACTCGCTACCCCGAGCCGTAGTCGTGGCGGCGGCAACGTCGCTGTCGTCCTTGAGCGTCGCACTAGCCGATTTGTTGTTCCCGACGTCGTTAGCGCTACCGGCGCTATCAGCACGCTCGTCGACCCGAAGGAGTAGGGCTTGGCCGAGGGCAGCGAAATTTGCAACTGGCGGTGCGAGAGTCGTTGCAGCTACGGCACATAGTAAGAGGAAGCAGCAGCAACAGCCGAAGGAGAAGATTTCGGGTGACATTGTTCTTGTCGTTGACGTTCGATCGCCGCGAAGCATCAGCGCTCGGCACTTCCGAAACTGTTAGCACCAGTAGCAAGGTGAGCTCTTTGGACGAATTTGAATGTGGTAATTTTATGAAATAAAAAGTTCACTCATTTGTGACGCAATGAGTTTCAGTTTCTAAATTTCGGGAGCTTGCATTCGTTGGTAGCTCTAAGCTTCGACGAAATCATCCGTTGCATGTGACTGTTGTTTCCAATATACGTATTTCCATGCAAACTTGGTTTTTTACGTCTCGTAAAATTTTTAAGGCTCCGTAAAAATTTTAATAAAATTGTATGTATAAATGTTGCACGGCAAGTTACAGATATCCGAAATGTTTGAGTGGCTTTTTCAATCATAACATCAAACGAGATTGGAAAATTTATTGATTTCTTGTTGATAAAAACAATTAATTAAATGTGTAACAAAAGTCCACTTGAATTAATTCGAAATAATCTACACGTAGCATCACCACTGCGTGGTCGTGACATGTCTGATCGAAGACGGGTCTGTACTACTGATTTCATGTCATTCGATTTTTACTCGTAATGTTTGCAACTTAAAAATTTAATTTATTTTTTTACGCACTGAAAACTATATAAGAATAAAAATATAAATTGTCCCCGTACAACATTAATACTATTTAAACGTGGAATGCCTGATCAAATGTTCGCCTGTACTACTGATTTTTAATCTACATGCAATTATTTTTCTTTATTTATTATTCTGGATTCATTATGGATTCGCGATTACAATTAAATGAAATCTTGGTAAGTTAACTGACGAAAATATCATCGACGCTATGTAAATGTAAAATATCTGACCAAACTTTGATTTGCACTACTGATTTCTTAATATTCTTCTTTTGTTCGTTATAGTTACAATTGTTCATTTTAATTTGTAAGTCATGTTTCTTTTCTTCTTTCGACACTACATGTAAGGGAGATGTCTGACCAAAATGTGATACATACTACTGAATTTGTATGAATTATGTTTAACTCGTAATATTTGCAATTGTTCCTCGTTATTTGCCGATCCGATATTTTTTCATCTGCATTATCGTAGTAATGAAACAAAACAACAACAACAATTCAACTGCTTGAAGAAAAAAAAACTTGTATGATAAATAGATAGATTTAGTACACTTGGCTACGAATTTTTAATACACTTGAGATTCTCGAGCAAAGCTGGCGAACATTTGGTTGTTGTTGTTGTTGTTGTTGTTGGTTAAAGCTTGTACACATGCATGTGTAACGTACGTGATTAAAAAATCCTCCCCCAACGTTTGTTCGCAGGAAGGTTGCTTAGTCGTGTGCAGCCTAGACAATGTCCCAAGATTCTGGCTCTATATCAGAGGAAGAACGCAGTTTGTTCCGTCCGTTCACGCGGGAATCACTAGCAGCGATCGAGGTTCGCATTGCCGAGGAACTTGCTAAGCAAAAAGAGCTCGAGAAAAAACGAGCCGAAGGCGAGGTAAGATCACGCACGAGCCATCCCTTCCTCCGAGACAGGGCCAATTCTCCCTAATTCTTTATCCCAATCGTTGGGCATCCCCTTCGATTTTCCTGCTGTACGTGTACACACCAATGAGAGATAGAAGGAGTGCGCACCCTCCCTCTCATCCACTGGCATTATGTAACGCAAAGTCGTTCAATATTCTTCCGTGGGTCAAGTTCACTTTTTTCCTTTATTTTCATAACATTATAAGACAAAATCCTCATTTTTCACCAAAACGTGTTACTAATTGCCGTTTTTTCAGGACTAAAGTGTTTGAGCTAAGTTTCCAAGTGTGAGTGTGATTGTGCAATGCATTTTTGTCGATACACATTACGTGTACGTTATGCTGCGGTGAATGGTCGCGAAAGTCGAGTCGTTTCGTAATGTTTCGAAACTTCTGGCTGCGCTTGCGAAGCCTCAGACTTTCCGATGCAATCAAGTTTTTAATTAAAATTTTCCAATTGCCATCGGCGTATCGAGTTGGCAAATTAGGAAAAAAAAACTCCGTTGCGATTAAATTTTACAGTATCCTCGCTTTTTCAAAGTGATGATCTTGTATTGTAATATCGATCGGTAGATAATTGATGCCTTCGAAGCGACTGAGAACTTTCGCCCGTAGAAGTATGTTTTTTGACTCATTTTAAAGATTTTTATCTTTATAAACACATTAAATTGTAGAACATCATTGTAAATAACTGATGGATGCTCTCATTGATTTAACAAATCACTCTTTCTTTTGAGCAATGAACAAAGGAATAACCGTTTGTTCATTAGCGAAGAAAATACGGTTTCGAGTAAAAAATAACGTTTTCGAAAAAGTTTAAGTTTGGTCGTGTAATATAAAAAAAAGAGAGCAATAATAAGAACATGAAAAAACATAATGAATTTTAAAACGTTTACCATGTCTTGGTACGCGAAAAAAGAAGGGGCGAAATAATTTTTTGAAAATGTAGCCACACCAAGATAAGGTAAGAAAGTGGCGCGCGCGCGTTTCAAACGGCAACGAATGCCCGGAAACTGCAATGCGGCTTCGTTTTTTTCGGGGTGAGGTCACCGTGTAGTACGCAGCATACGTATGCGCGAGGCGGAAGGTGAGAGCGCTCATTTTACTTTTGCATTCGCGGAAATTCGACCGAGAAAAAGCCTTGGGGATTTTTTTTTTTTTTTCTGAGAATGAATTTGTCACTCACTGTCTTGGTGAAAAATTTAAACTGGGCTCGTCGTGGTTTTTTATTACTGTACGCAGTTCTGATTTTCAACGTGGAAAGGAACGAGCAAACAAATAGCATCGAATCGTGTAATCATGCGGCACAAAAAGTTTTTTCACTTCGATACACTTTCAATGTTGTTGGAAAGGAATGTTTCTCTTTTTTCTTTTTTTTAATTTGTTTTTTTTATTTTCGTTAAATGTGTGTAAAGTAAAACCACTTCTCTTCTCCTAACTGTTGTTATTAAGATTCATAACGTAACACACGAAAGCACCTCGATGTCTCATGCATTAATTGTGTAATTACTGTGTTTATGTTTGTTTGCGTGTAAAAAAAGTGTTTTATTTATTTATTTATTTATTTCTTTAATTCCTGAACAAAAAATTATTGAACACTACATCGCACGTTGCAAATTATATAAATTATTAGACGTGTTTTCGATATTTGCAAAAGATATTACTTTGTTTCACTAACAATTAAAAGTAATAATTTTTTAAAAATGACATTCATATACGAGTGTACAATAGCTTGTTGCATTTCAAGAGGACATTAATAAAAATAAGGTGTACAGATATTTAATTTATTATAAACCTTTTTGTGTTCAAGTACTTTAACGTGTTTAATGAAACAAAAAAAAGCAAAATTGTTAAAACACTACAGTACAAGTTTCTCGTGGTGGAATCCCGTCGGCAACAGGGTTAATTTAAAATCTCGGCCTATAGCATCGTATAATTTACGTTGCTATCCATTATCTTTTTTTCCCTCTCACACACGCACACACACACTCACACACTGCGTTTACATGGTACAAGGGCTGAGCTTGTAAAAGTCGAGCCATAGTAGCTCTGGCTACTGCTGCCAAGGGAGGAAAGGCTGAATAATGCAGAGTCGCGCCCCAGTAAGCTGATTAAACGTTATTGTGTCGGCTCTTGATTGGACTTTTACAACACGCGTGCACACAACCTTTGGATCAAAAGAACCAAGGCAGAGTCATTTACTTGATAAACTCACTGCGTCTCCGTACTGAGATTTTTTATTTGTGCTTCATTTTTTTCGGTAAATTGAAAACTGTTTACATTTTTCATGTTTTTTTAGGTCTTTCATACTATTTATATGTAATTGAATAAAGAAAAAATTGTTGCTCGCGTTAATTTATCCGCATTAGTTTCCGATTAGTTTTAATGGTTTTGACAAAATTTGGTATCGTTTTTTTTTCGTTCCTAAATCATGATGAATAATAAAATTTATGCAAACAATTTATATCGAATATAAGGGAGGGTAAATAAATAAAAAAATTTCAGAAATTGCGAGTCTTCATTGACTTTTTGTGTTTTATTTCTTACAATACATAAAGTTGCTTGATATGAGTCAATAAAGTATTCTAGTTTTATTCTTAGTAACAGTTGTAAAACAAATTGTTCTGGTATATTTTGCCATCGAACATAAAATACAGTACAGCCCATGAAAAGTAAGACCATATGGTTTGCGACAAATATAAATATACGTGTGTGTACTATGTGATACAATTATCGTTGTGCCACACGCGTGACGAATGTCACAAAAATATCAAATCCGATTGAAATCAAATAATCTAAATTTTTCTTTTTCCTGTATACTTTTATAGTATCCTATATAATTTTAATGTGATATATACACACAGTACAAAACTCCCTTAACTTCTATTCAGCGTGTGTTACTTCAAATACATGTTGATCTTGGTTCGCGATATCTTTGTATCTATTATAACCTGAACGTGTGTGTGTAGCTGTATATTATAACGTGCCTTTTGGAGCTATATATCAATGTAGAATTTCCATTGATGTGTTTCTATTCTATTCTGTCTGTATAAAATGTATTTTATGACAGCAAAGTTTTTTATGCTTCGATAAAGGTTTTTCTCTTTTAAATTAAATTATGTTTTGTTAAAGTTTTTTAACTCTAATTAACTTTTTTTTATATTATACATAAAAGTGTAATGATTTTGTGCTATACGAATTAATTTTCACTCGATTCGCTTGATAAATAAGCGTTCAATAGAGTTTTGCAAAAAATTGTTTGATTTATATTTATAACGTTTTCAAATTTAATTTCAAAAAATGTACATTAAAAATTTATGTTTACTGGAGAAAATCCATTGCCCGAGGCACAAAAATATTACTCTAGTTAAAATTAGATGTTATAAAACGTTGCGACGGATGAATATACATTGCTCTGACATTTATGTTAAATTTATTTTGTGTCTTACTGTATCTTAATTATGTAAATTATTATGTTTAAATGTCATTTTTCATCCTTCGACTGCTCTCTATCATCTTTCTCATGCTATATTACAAAAAATACATAGATATATATATTTAAGTGATAAGAAAAAAATGTTATCATCGCTGTTTCTTTTTTTTTTTTGCCTCTATGTGTGTTTTTCTATATTTTATGTAACGACTTTTTTCTCATTTCTCCAATTTCAGACGGGTTATGGACGGAAGAAAAAGAAAAAAGAAGTAAGATGTTGCCACACGTGTGTGCTAAGTAACCATTAAAAAAGCTGCTAGTCCATCTGATCGAAAATTTTTTTTATATTTACTTTTCTTTAATTTTATAATGAGTACGTCACGCTTTTCCTTTTTGACTTCATGCTGTGCATCTTTTGCTATTTTATATATGTAAATTTTTATTTTTACTTTACATGAGCAGCTTATAACGCGAACTTATTGGAAATGGCCGATGCAATGCATTAAAATTTTTTTAGTCATTTCTTACTACGATCTTAAAAATAATATTGTAACCTAGTTACAAACAGTTCTTTTTTTGATATTTAAATGTCTGACAATTTTCTAGTCATCAGAATTATTTATCTACATTAAAAAAATAAAAAAAATAAAAAAATAAATATAAACTGAAAATCTCAATAAAAAATACACATTTTTGTTAAGCACATTGAGATTGTATACATACATTGAGTCGGTCTTTTTAATACGAAAGAAAAAAAACACTGTAAAGCTAATGCACCTCTCTTAATCGCTAAGGGCTGGCAAAATAAACAAAAATTGCTTCTGAGTGGCTTTTTTGCTTTTTAGTGCTGTAACAATGTAGGTTTGAGCTTTGGTTATAACGGCGTGTGCGGTTAACGTAAAATGAGCTTTTACCTTTCCTAGCTGTCTCTTGTGTATTCTTCTCCTAACTATTCTTATTAACTCTGTACACTGTGGAACTGGAATGTAACATTACAAGCAACACCTCATTATTACATATAGATCTATAGATGTCCCTGTCGTCGATAGTTTTTTATTTTTACAACCCAAAATTTTTTTCCTTCATCTTCTCCATCTGCTCCTTTAAAAATCATTCCTCAACTAACTCTTGCTCCCAAGGTAATTATTATTAACATACACGCAAACGTTGTACACGAACCTTATATTTATCGCATATGTATTTCACACGACATAGAAAATAGATAGTTCAGACAGGTATTATATTATATATATACGTTATGTATATTTTAGCACGCACGTAATTGAAAGTAGTGTCGGCAAGATGAAACAATGATCAATTGAAAAAAAAAAAAAAAAAAATGAAATGAAGAAGATATTGTTACCTATACCCATTTTAGCGATCAATTCTTCGTTTCAGTTTTACCGTATTCTCATACAGATTAGATATTTAGATAGTGGATTATTTACTATATTTTATTTATATATACATTAGAATAGTCGAGTGTTTTTTTAGACATACTAAATTAAAAATGATTAAAAACATGTGTTTGTATACACGTATGTACAGCGACAACATAACATAATTAATATTTCGTAAACACACATTCATTTCAAAATCGTGACATCGATATTGACGTGCGTACATATAACGTTCGAGCAGTTTTTTTCGTGTCCATTGCGTGGAATTTTGATTGAAGTGTTTATCCTTACGTTTCTTCCAATTCATGGATTGCGCGAGAAAAATATGATTATTCATGCTGTTAACGTAGATATTTGAGGAAAAAAAATATTTTGAAAAAAAAAACAAAAAAACATTGCTTATTTGCAGAGCTGTCCACGAATCGGCTGATACTTTTTTTAGGGTTAACATTGAAATTGATTTTTTTCCAACTATTAAAATATTCAATATATATACTAAATTGATTATCAATTGATCAAATAGTCTTGAGTTCTTTTTTTTTAATTATTATTATAAATAAGCTTAACGAATTGGATGGATGATTGATTTGATTCGGGTTCAAAAAAGTTTTATTTCAGTTGGAATTGAAACATCTAGATGCACTAAGTTGGAAAAAATTAAACAATTTAAAATAAACTAGGACATTAGTGTCTGCATTTCAATCTCGGTTTTGGACAGGTCTGCTTATTTTTAATTAAATACGAAGAAAATATTTTTTCGACGTAACTTATTAAAGTTTCACACTTGCTTGATACCACGTCATACTAATTTAACATAATTTATATGCTTATTTTGATACTTAATTAATCATACTTTATTACTATCAAAATATTCCGAAGTAACTCACACTACTTTGATAAATCTTTTTTTTTATCTCGATAAGCCACTAACTGTTAAAGTCATGCATATAATTGATTACTTTCTCAACTTTTGTAATACTAACAATTTATCAACTCACACGCTTCGTATGGAATCGGCTATATTTTGAAATTGAAAAAAATATATATAATTCACACTTTCTATACTTACTAACTAAGGTGATTTAATAAAGAAAATACACTGATTTTTTACGCATTTATTAAGAACTTTAATTCAAAGAGGCGCTTTAACTCGAACTTTATTGCGGTGATTGAGTTTGAGAGAAAAAAAGTGGCAATCAGCCGAATGACGTAAATTTCCAGTTCAAGCGCCTTGGTTAAATTATTTTATTGACACTGCTCACGCAGTTGCATCGTGTAAAATCTTAGGTTTAGTCTAGATTTTTTTTCTTTTTTTTTTTTTTTTTTTGGTCTCTTTTCATACGGAGAGGA